ACGTCTCTGTGCCTGCTGAAGGCCATTGCCGGGGAGATGGGTCTTCTCCCAAGCACCCCTCTTACTCTTGGGTCGCAGGGTCTTTTCTCCAAACCTGGTGCATATGAAAAGCAAAAAGCCTTTTGGCTTCTGTCACCAGGGAATTGGCCAAATCTGTCGCTCAGGCAATACAAACCCTCTGAAGAAAAGCACCTTGGCGTTTTTGTTTCAGTGAGGTCTTCCCCCTTCCCTTTCCCAGGGTTGCACAAGTATCAGGTCAACTTGCGCATGAATCCCATGAAGGGCTCAATGGGGCAACATCTATTTTGAAAAGTCTTTTTTCTGCTAGCATGGATAACAAGCGCGAAGTTTCACTTTACTGCTCTTACTTTGTTTTCTGGCTTTCCTTATCAATTTGGTTTACCCAATTCAGATACGTAGGGATGGACCTAGGTCATACTTTAAAAAGATGTACCAAGTATAAACGACCATTTAACTTCCCTTTATTTGTTGCAGATCTGTGACAGGTTTTTAATCTGCTTGCTGCACTGAGATCTTTAAATTGCTGTCTACTTTCCAGGTATCCTTGTAATTCTGCCCATGCTCTTACCTACGTGCACAGATTCCACAGTCAGCTTTTTGCAGTTTCACCATGAACTTTTCCACTGCAATTTCGTTCCTTTTTTAAAGTTTACTCCACCTAATCCAGCCCTAATCCATCAGATAACAGGCTTTTTGGTGACATCTAAAAGGGACTTGAGAATTTTACTCCTCACTACAAAACCCAAAGCCTTTACAAGCTCTACAAAGAAACCACCATCAATGTTTTCAGCACCCCTTTTCAAGCTGTGCTTGGCCTTAAATAATTTTCAATGTGTCTTCTATCCTGGACATTTCATAAAAATTCCGCAAATAACTCTCCACATAACATTTCCACCACATCAAATCGGAGGCCATACAACACAGGCAATTTCACAGGCCTTGCTAGGATCTGAGTACCCAGCATCAGTGAAGTTTGACAGCAGCTCAGCCTGCTTTCCTATATCTTTGTTTATGCCTCATTTTCAGATTTACCAACAAGAGCACCTTCATGAACAGAAATCAAACGCTTATCCTTTTATTTTCAATTAATCCTGTTGGGGCTGTTCTGCTGCATAAATAATATATATTGCTGTCTTAGCTTACAGAAGCTTACCGCTAGTTTTGAAGAAAACGTGCCTGGTCCAAGCAACCCCCTGGACAGCCTGCTCCCGGACCTGCGGCATCGGCATATCCAGCAGAGTGACCAATGAGAACAGAAAATGTGAAATGAAAAAAGAAAAGAGGCTGTGCTTCATCCGGCCTTGTCTGACCAACATACTGAGGACAATAAAGGTATTCGCTTAATATAAAATGACTTCCTAATAGAAAATGAAAATATTGGAAGTAATGGAAAAATGGATGCATTAGCAACTACTAATATAAAATTACTTCTTCCTTTTTTTAAGAGTTTTAAAATAACTCTTCTCTGTTTTCTACCTTCAGTCTTCAGGTTTCAATAGTAAACTACAGAGGTGTAATTTCAAACAAAACAATGTAATGGCCTGAAATCCAAGTGCTGGTAGTGCTGTCCTGGTGCTCAGTCACTCAGAAAATATTTTCTGTTTGTTGACCGATAAAGAAAAATAAGGCAGCTTTCAGAAGGAGTAATTTTCACACTATCTCTATGTAGATGTTGCAATTTTTTCTTACATGTTCTGTTTCTAATGTGTAAAAACTGAGGCTTTTCTTTCTTTTTATATTAAAGGTTCCAAAAGGAAAAACATGTCAACCAACATTCCAGCTTCCTACAGCAGAAAAACTAGTTTTTTCCGGATGCGCAAGTACTCAAAGCTACAAACTCACTTTCTGTGGCGTGTGCTTGGACAAGAGGTGCTGCATACCTAATAAGTCCAAAATGGTCACTGTACAGTTTGAGTGTCCCAGTGAAGGCTTCTTTAAGTGGAGGATGATGTGGGTAACATCGTGCGTATGTCAGAGGATTTGCAGTGCTCCAGGAGATATATTTTCCGAACTCAAAGTTCTATGACGAGTTACATCATTGACCGTACCATACCGAAAGTGCAACGGCACATTCACACCCGGAGGAGCTGGCATAACCCCCTGCCTCCGCCGTGGTTATATTGAAACTACATAAGTGGATATTCGTTTTTTTAAATAGCACCTGGAAAATGCAAGTAAGAGTGCATCTTTCTAAATGTAATTTTTTTTATATGTCGAAATACATTCTTGAGAAGGATGTATACAATATTAGTATTGTCAAAACAAGAACTTTTGGTAATTAAAAAAGGTGCAGCAAGACAGCTTCACACCCCACTGTAACAAGGTGTTGCCCACAAAGACAAATACCTGTAAATTCATAGATGGTCTAATGAACCTATCAGAAAAAAAATTACCCTGTAATACTTCATCTATCATTCTCAATTCTCAAATTAACATTTTCTACTATGTATCTGCAATAGTAAAACACATCAACGCTGTTTCAAACAGGAGAAGTCAATTCTAAGCTCAGATTGCTTTTTGCAGCAGATAATCTTTGTCTAGTGCTGTGAATATAATCAATGCACTTGTAAAGGAACAAATAAGTGGGCACCTGCAGGTAATAGATGTAAAATTTCAAGGAAATGACTACTTAGAATGTTTTCTTAAAAAAAAGATCTCAACAAATGTTATCACAATGTTTTATTGAATACTTCTGGACTTGCACATTGAAAATTGTGCTTACTTACACGCCCACTCCAACTCTGCAAGAAGGACTTGAAGCTTTGAGAGATCATTGTATCGATCCATTCTGATTTGTAACAGTTGACTAGTCTTGCTGTTCTAAGACAGCCAAGGCTGGCAAGCAACTGGAAATAGCTGTACATTCTATTTTGTAAGAGTTCTTACTGTAATATAAAAATCTACTTATCCTGGTAATATAAATATTAAAACATCTATTTTACTTGCATTCTTTTAACCATATGAACTTTGTTTTCCAAAGAGCTGTTACAGCTTCATTGTAAGTGCATGTTTTGCTCAGAGGTATATTGTATTATCTCATTATTAAGTGCAACTCAGCACTCATGAATATGAGTAGTTACAGTAAGATGCTAATTAATACTCCCAGTATAATATTTGAAACAAAATTTATTTTGTTGCATTTTCTGATATTGCCAATTTTGATACCAACTCAGAATGCTCTGATACAGCTAAGTATAACACGGAAGCAGAAAATATTAAAACCATGAACATAGCTTAGAGCATTCTGAAATGACTACTATCCTGCAAAGTTTAAGTCTCTCATGAAACTGGTTTCTTGCTTTCATCTATGTGGGCTTTTCCTCTCTTTGTAGTTGCTTGTTAAAAAACAAATCTAGCAACGGTGAGCCTTCTTTAAAGCAAGGCCTGCCTTTAGTTTACCGTAAGCTGAAAATCTGAGAAAAGAACTACATTTTGGCTGCTACAACCTCTCTTCCTTCTCTTTACAGCATATGGTATGTCAATTTACTCTCCAGTTAGGAAGACTGCTCTCAGTGATACCTGTCATAATCAGGTGTCTTCAAATCTTTCTTACAGGCTGGGCCTGTCACTTACTACGACACCTCTCTGAGCCAAGGAAGCTGTTGTCCCAGTCCCACTTTGGAATGACAATAACCGGGCATGCCGCAGTTCGTTCTGGTTAACTGAAGTGATTGGATGCTTGGGGAATTTTTTTTTTTTTAAAAAACCAAACCTCAGTTCTTCCTTCTTTAAACAGCTATCTTCAGTCTTGGTGGATCTGTTCTAGGCCCACCTTTTGTGGCATCCAGCTCATCATACTCTTCTATTAGGTCAGACAAAGACAGTATGGCTTCAGAAAAACAGTCTTGCTCCATCCCATCTATATGCAGATAATGGTGAAGGTGAGCCTGAGAATGAAAAAAAATAAAAATTCAGTGTTACCCTTTTTCTTGGCACCTAATTGCTTTGGGTCAATAAGTACCATTTAGCCTGCACTGAAGAGGGGAGTGCAAGCACTGTGGAAAGTAGATTGGAAGACCTGTATCACGACATCCCTTCTTTAAATACTTGGCAACTTTAGTAACGAACACCTATGGAATCACAGTCAATATTACTGATTTCTTACACATCCATCTTTTCATATTCTGTCTTCTTGGGCACACCTGACTAAACTGTGCATTGGGTTTACATGGCAAGATTTTGGTAGCAAAGCAGGAAGCTTGGGGCTGCAGGAGTGGCTTTTGTGAGAGGCTGCTCCCATGTCCAATAGTGCCCGTTCCAGCCAGCTCCAAGATGGACCTGCTGCCAGCCAAAGCTGAGCCCACCAGACACGCTGGTAGTGCCTCTGGGATAACGTGTTTAAGGAGGGGTAAAAAATGCTGCACAGCAACTGTGAGAGAGGAGTTAGAAAATGTGACAGATGCAGACCTGCAGACACCAAGATCAGAGCAGAAGGAGCAGGAGTGAAACTGAGCCTGGGAAGAAGTGGGGGGAAGGTGTTTTCAGTTTTGGTTTTATTTCTTGCTATCCTACTCTGTTATTAATTGTCAATAAATTAAATTAATATTCCCCAAGTCAAGTCTGGTTTTCCCATGACAGTGACTGGGGAGTGATCTCCCTGTCCTTATCTCGACCCACAAGCTTTTCATCATACTTTGTCCCCCTGTCCTGCTGAGGAAGGGAAGTGAGAGAACGGCTTGGTGGGTACCTGGGAGCCAGCCAAGGTCAACCCACCACAAACTGGTAGCCAGATCTGTCAGATATCACCTCATTGCTGAAGAAAGTAAGTATATTGCCTGGTAGGCACAGATTAATAAGGGAGTTTATGCTTTTGAAGCAGCAACTGCTGGAATGATTCCCTGATAGGCAACACAGATACAAATCTTGGGCTGTAACTTTTAAGCAGTCCCTTTGTGACACTAAGATTTGCTTCCCAATAATGCAAGATGCTAAAGATCAGCGGCTATGGAAGTGAACAATGATAACAGTTGTACCTTCTTCCTGTAGAGCTTCATAAATCTGTCTTTGAGTTCAATGAAAGTTGGTTTTACACAGGTGTTGTTTGCTAAAGCCAGAAGGGAATGGGAATGGCCCACCGGAGGTACTGAACACAAACCCGTTTTCCAGCCCTCTTGATTCCAGGAGACAAAGTGCAGAGAAGGCTTCAACCTGTGATACAAAAATTTAGTTACCTAAGGAACGTAAAGAACACAAAGCTTAATTTTCTTTTGCTAACAGTCCGAAAAGGTTAACATTTAAGCTTTCAGCAAGCCAGTTGTAACCATCATTTTGAACAAGACATTTTAGACTAAAACAATGTGTCTATTTTAAATTTAAATTGCAAACACCAATTTTATTTTTGTTAATTTATGTATCAGGGTTTGAAAAGTAAAGTTACAAGCACCTATTTCTACAAACAGGACTGCAAGCATGCTGAGATTTAGGAGCGGCAGATTAATGCTGTGTGGGGCCAATCAGTCTACCTGTAGTTTAGAAATAAATGCTTTAGATTCTCTGAAATTTTCCCCATGCAGCTCTGTCTTCCTGTAAACTCCATTCTGTATGCGAAGCTTGTCTGCTTTCCATGTTATAACTATGTTATAACTATGTTATAACTATGTAGAAACAGAATGCTAACAATACAGAGCTGTCAAAATAAAGATGATTCCCTATCTACCTAAAAGTAATCATGAAAGAGAGGGGCCTTCTGTTCAGTAAAAATAAACTTCTACAGAACTTATTCCTCCAACATCCTTTACTGGCACACCTCTGGAAAGTTGGGCTTTGCTTTCTTTTGCATTTTTGAGAACGAGAGGAGCTGCTGCTAGTCAGCTCCCTCTGTCTGGAAATCAAAGAATGCTGTGACTTATTCTAACTCATTATGTAAATCAATTACATTTTCTTCCCTTCTGAAATTAAGAAAAATATTTCTGAGTAAACTGATTTAGTACTGCAATTTTTCAAATGAAAAGTGAGAGCGCTCTGGACAACTGACAGCAATTTCAATAACAAATCCCGTGACTACTTTGTGTGGTATTACAAACCTTTCAATATTTCTGCGAAGGTCTGAAACCTGCACATTTCCTCGAACAAGGAGTGCACAGGCAAGATAGAGGCTATGCTTTGGATCAGCTTGAATTAGTTGATGATCTCTACTAAAAGCATCTGAAAACATCTGATCCAACCTAGGTGAAAAGAAAACAGAGTTACCTTCTCTTACTAAAGCAGGCTACAAAAGTTCTTCAGAATGCCCACCTTCAGGGTTTGAAAATCAAAAAAATTCTGGAGATAAAGGTACATTTAACCTGGGACCATGAACGACAGGGAAAAGATTCAAATCTTTATATGTACACATGTTGGCATTATAAGGTTTTAAAACCACACCAGATCCATTTTTTCCTCTCTTTTCCCTGATGTTATAAGCCACTGTTGAGTCTAAAGTCAGAGAAGTGGACAGACTGAGATCTTTATTAGGGCAATTTTAGGTCAATGGTTACAAAGTATTAAAAATATGTAAAAGGATTTAACTACTTGAGGTTCTGGTTAAATGACAATTTGAGTGGACAATCTCACTGCTTCTGAAGGATCTGAGAAGGAATACAAAAGTGCTGCTGACCCTTACAGAACCAATTATTTGCGTCTTGCACTTCATTATTTAAAAAGATCAATGAATCACAGAACTGTATTAATTTTGATTAATGGATCAGGAAAAGACAGACTATATGTATTCATCTACTTATTCTAATTTTATCATGTACAACTGCTTCAAAAGATGACACTGCAGATCATGCTCTTTGGACCCGTAAGATCTAAACTATTCTTTCCATTTGTTCCAAACTCTCTGCATCTATCATCTGGGTTTTTTTTTTTTAATCACCTCTGCCACAATCCGCCTATTAAAAAACTAACTAAAGGAGACAAATATATTACCGTTCCCACCTCATTCTGAAACATGATTGAGAGAGCATCTCCCCATAGTCTGCCACCTTCCCTCCAGCACTGTATTGTCTCCTCAGGGCGTGGCTTCAGGAGACCCAACAGTTTCTCAGAACTTGCTGTCACAGAAAAGGGGTGGTCCTGCCCTCTTCTCCACTTCGCATACTTCCATCACGTACCCCTAGCTGTCCCTATCGCTATTTGGACCTTTTGCTGACTGAACTTAATTCACTAAACCCAGTAAAATCTATTTCAACTGGTTATTTTTCTGCCACATCTGTGGGATAAATAAGCTCACAAAATTTGACAAGTGTCAGCTTATTGTAACAATAAGCTGTTGAGTGGGCTCGCTGCATCTCCAGACTGAAGATGCCGTTACTTCCCAAGGAGCCTAGTTTAATCCTTGCTTGTCTTTACAGTATTTTGTGAGTCAAGTGCCCCAACTGTTACTCAGACGAACTTGGGGTGTGGGTTCCATCTAAGTAAAACATTTCTCCAACAGAAACATTTCCCAGTAGAGGTAACAAAAATAGATTTCAAGTTCACTGGCTCAACCATTACAGAGAGAAGAGACAAAGGATGTTCCTAAAATCATCAGGATGGATTTCCAAGTGTGGCAGACTTAAAACGTTCAGAATTTCTACCCTTAGTTTTGCTATAGAATGGATTTTTTTAATAGAAAACTATGGAAGAATCAGACATTAAGCTTCAAATGTAAGGCTTCTATAATATTTTTTCCTTACCTTCTAGAAGGTACGTTGACATCAGCCAATGTATACAGAGGAGTCAAGCTTGAAACCAAGTAATGAAGTCGAGGAAATGGAACCAAATTCATGCTAATTTCATTAAGATCCATGTTAAGTGAGCCTTCAAACCTAGCAGAGCTGAAAAATTAAAAAACTGTTACAAAAATGTAAACATTCATTAAATCTATTTTTCAACTGTTCTGTACAATAAAACAGTCAAACAACACAGCGTTCAAGAAACTGTTCATCTGTAATTACTAAACTTCCGCATTTGGCAGTAACAGTGCTGTATCTTATTTACTTACACTTCTCATTATAGAACAATATATCATCAAGAATGACATCGTGTTTCCTAACTGTAGTCTTTAGCGCTGTTTTTCAGTATGTGGACATAGCTGCTGAATACCAGTTTTAATAACCAGGCTATAATAAAACACATGTGACTTAGCATTCCTGACAAGTTGTTTAAAAGAAAAGAAGGCCAATACTCCACAAGCATACTTCATCAGGAGTTTCTTGCAGCAATAGATGGTTTGGGAGCAACAATGTTCTGACGGTATTTATAAAACAATACAACTGGCCTAGAAAGGCAAGCCTCTCTGGGCTCCATTATGCATTAATGTAAGACAACATCCTTCTGCCTATAAAACTTTCTTACTTCAGTTCCAAGACTGTCATGGCTACAGCAACACCACTGCAATCTCACTAATTCCAAATACTTACACATTTAGTAACTAATTATTAAAAAGCAGAGACTCATATCAAATGGAATATTCTTTGAGTTGATGCAGGCCTGCATATTGGCAGCACTCACTGCCTCTAGCAATACTGCTTTTATAGAGGAATAACCTGAAACTTTACCTTGTCAAGTTCAGCAGCAAGTTGGCTACGATATTATTCATTGCATCAAATGGCTTCTCTTGTACTGTTTTTGCACTGCCTGCACTTGATGTTACCAAGCTGTTTTGCTTCACAGTTGACCCTAGCTTCCCAGAATTGATCATCTGATGAATTTTATTAACTATATCAAACAGAGACTTTGAGAGAGGAGGGGGAAAAAAAAAAGCATACAAGAAGTCTTGAGCACAGAGCTTTCAAATTCAGTACCCTAATTTTTCATTTCAATTAATCTTAAAGAAAAAGGTAAGACATGGTACTGTGGTTCAAAGATTGTACCTTTGATACACGTAAGTCCAACTTCCGAACAAATCCAATTGACTGTAGTGTTTCTAAAAGACTGTTCCTTACATGTCACAAACATGTACACGGCTTGACTCGGAAGGCTGAATTTTATTCGACTACTTAAAATCCTCACCTTCTAAAATTACATTTTAAATTTTCATAATTCCTATGAAAGCAAAAATTTATTCTCTAAATATATTTCACTTTCTCTTGCTTTTTTCATACGCAAACAGCAAGAGAGTCATCAAAGTTAGATTCAAATGAGTCTAGTCGTTTGTGCGGTCAGGCATGCCTGTGATGCCCGTATCACTAATCAGTAAAGTCAAGCCTGTTGGAATTTGGAGTGGTTAGTCATTTCCCTTGCAGGACTCTACTAATACTATGCAGAAATTGATTGCTACAAGAATATAAGACTCCTAGCCTCAGTAAACAGAAGTTTTTCGCTGTTCACCTTGAAGTGGACATGAAAAAATTCACTCTAGGCTACTTGGAAGGTGCAGAGCAACTTTTTAGCGATATCCATATTCATTTCAAAAGCCTGCAAGTGAATTAGGAGTTCAATTATTACTTTAAAAAAGGAAATTAAGCTTTTTAAGACTTGGTGCTCAAATCGATACATAGAAGGAAGAAACATTTCCTATGTGCGGTCTAATAAAAAATAAATTGGCAGAAATAGAGCATCATCTCTTACTTCATTCTCTACTGGTAGCACACAGTCGGCATGGTCATTAAGCTCCTTCATAGCCAGAACACTGTTATATGGAGAAGTAATAACATCATCTTCACCAGAGGGATAAACTGAAGTAACAAATCTATATACTTCTGGGAATTCATCCTCAAGCAAATTTAGTACAAAAGTTCCAAGACCAGAGCCTGTCCCTAATTATGAATGAAGACAGAATGAGAGAAGATAAAAGGTTCCCCATGTCAGCTTAAGCCTTAAGTCTCGTATGTTTCCAACATATAACTTTTCAATTATATATATTAATGAATATTTTTTGAAGCATTTGGCTGACAGTGGAGGCTACTCTGATGTAAATTAAGGCAAGAAGTTTTTTCCCAGGCAGGAAAATAACCAAGTGATAAAAGTATTTCCCATAGTATACCAGATAAGATGAAGTAAACAATCTCAAAAATTTCTGCAAACCAAAAAGTCCTGTTAGGTAACCAACATTTTTCTGACCTAGTATTTTCCTTTCTTATTTTAAAATCTTTAATTTGAACTTTGAAATAAAACATTGAACATTGAATGTTTAAAAACACTGAACTGCCCCAAATAATTATTTACTTTCCTTCTGTGGATTCTTTATAGTTTTCTCAGTCTCCAGTCAAAACAGAAGATCCCTTTCTCCCAGCACACACACTTTTTTCCTCATTAGCACTACACACATAGCACTGGGTTCAAGTCAGAGAACTGAACTGTGGCTTTTCCATCTTGGACAGCTAACATTCTCAGTAGCAATTTCATCTATGAACAAGACAGCAATTTTCTGCAATAACAGAAACAATATCTGCAGGGTCTCTCAAATTAAACAAATGGCCACAAAGAAGGCCCTTGAGAAAACTCATGCTTCATATTTAGAGCTGTTTTCTGTGTCTTTTTCCACATCATAACCAGTTACAATACATGCTCCCCCATGTTTCTGGGGGAGGAAGGCTTAGTGGCAATACAGTAATGACAAAATGGTCAATGCAAGGGATTCTCCCTTCTGATTTATTAACAAAGTAGTTAGACTGGATTCAATACAATTATGTGAAAAGAAAACAAAGTTTTTCTGAAGTTAAGCAACATCAGAAGTCTCCTTCAAAGCCTTTTGGAAAACTTTCCCCACAATTAAAAATAACTCCATTACAACAATGATGTCAGTGTTCTGAGGCTACTGTCC